TCAATGCATCCCCCAGAGGCTTGTGTATTTCTATGCCCTCAAGGCACATTTTGATAGCAGGCTGGAACAACCTGTGCCAAGGCAATTTTCCAAATTTCTGATGAGCCTCCCAATATCCAGCAATCTCCCCTGGCACTGCAACTGCTAATCCACCTACAACCAGTAGATCATTGAATCAATTAAGAGGTGTTGATATACATTTTCAAGTGGCATCTGATGTAATCCATGTTTTTCATCAGATGTGTAAAATTGTCATGTTTTTAAATAGGTCAATTATTTTTCATGGTTATCAAGGAATTATTTTGGGATTTAAAATGACCTTTCAAAAATGCCAACTTACTTCATCTTTTACTAGAATGACATCTGACATCTGAAACTCCTGTATCTGACAAAGATTTCATTTTCCAACAAGAGATGTGCATGGAGAATTTCCTGATTCACATTTTTTAAAATGGATAGTGAGTATAGGCTGTTCTGATCTACTTGAAAATCATTGATTCAAGTTGAAGTACCAGATTTGGAAAGGGTCCCATTGCCACCATACATGTTTTCAGAGGCATGCAGGGGTGCCCATTCCCTGGCAATAAGAGTGTGTGCAGTCCTGGTTACATTGTGCCAAATTGTCATGACAAAGCCTCCTCCAATGCCCATGCTGTGTGCATTTGAGAGCCCATCACAGAGCAGTGCTGCAATGGCAGCATCCACTGCTGACCCTCCTTCCTCCAGGATTTGCCTATCCACACATGATGAATTGAAGAAAAGATTTGAAAGTTGGAAATAGGGGAGGGAGGAACTCCTAGACATGAAACATCACTAGAGTCTTTAAGTGGACAACATACAGTATTTACAAGTGCCTCTGACTTTCCTAACCAATCCACTAAATTCAAGTCAACCATTGAAAGATTGGACCTCTTCATGTTAGAAATAGTATTCATCTTTGAGTGTTTGATTCTTCTAGAAAATTTGTTTTGTTTTTACCTTCTGCTTCCTCAGAACTGAGTCCATCAAGGCAAATAGCATCAAATTTTCAATATATTGAATGAAAAAGTACTGAAATAGTTTTTCATGACCAGGGTTCCAAAGTGTTTAAAACCTATAAAGTAGATTTCTGTGTCCTTCAGCTCAACATGAGAGTAGTGACAGTTGCTCCTGAAAGTACAGTATCCACACTGAGCCTTTTTCTCTTATGTAACCCAACCTAAAAGTTGATATATAGGCAAAATAATGCCTCATCTCAAATCATAAATTCTAACATCATTTTTTCCTAAGATCATAACATGCTTTTTTTCAAAGATGGGTCTTTTCTTGTAAGCATGGATGTTGTACATGAAAAACATACCGCCCAATGGCGGCACATGGGGCCGCATCTGCACTCACAGCAGCATGAGGAAAATATTTGCTATTCCTTAGCTTTCTGGATTCTTGTTTCTCTTTTTCTTTCCCAATTATTCCTTCCTTTCTTCTTGAAATTATTGCGACAGAGGAATGAGAATGAGAAAAGGAATTTTGTCTGGGATTAATGCTTGAAGGGGAGTAAGAAGAAACCAATGAAGGGTATTGTGGGAGAAAGTGGAAAGAAAACTGTGATTTAGATCATGATGTAAAATTTTCTTGGATGTATTGTGTCATTTTGTTCCATCAGCAGTCAAACAAAAGTCAGTGCAGCTCAAAGAAGTGTCTTTTGAATACAATTTTTCTGATCTTCTCAATGTCTCCCTCAAAGTTGAGTCCATAGAAGATGTGATCCACAGCCCTTGCCAACAAGTCCATGGCACTGAGGTAGTTTTCCCACAGCTTTGCCCAACCTGAAACCTGGTCCTGTGAATCTGTTTGTTCAGGAGGTGGTGACTTGTAGGTAGTGATGCCAAAAATGGCTGTTGGGGATGTCACTTGGATGAAGGTTTGTTGCCCCATGTGCATTGTGGTGTGGTTGGTCCCAATTTGGAGGTTGAACTCTGTGCTTCCTTTTCTGTTGACTCTTTGGGCTTTGATGTGGCCTTGGATGATGGTCAGTTTTGCTGACTGTATGCTGGTGTGTAGCAAATAAGTGCTCTCCATATCTGTGGTTTTGGGATATAATTGATCAAAACTGCAGTGAAATCTACAATTTTTGTTGAACTAAATACTGAAAAAAAAACATGAACCATTCTTGCAACATTACCTTTGAAGTCCCCAAAAAGCATGAACTCTGTGCTGGAGAGGCTTGGGGAATGTTGGAATCTGTGGTGGTGAGAGATCACTGGTAAAAGAAGCTGAAGGCTTTCCATGAAAGGATCCCAGGATTGCTTCCCTTCATGATTCAGGTCAATACTAGGGTTGTACATCCTCTGCACTGGTCTGTAGTTCAAAGATTTCCAGATGTCTGTGGCAAAAATTTGAACATCTTGTTGACAATTTTTTATTTCAGCATGCTCTTGGCAGTACAAATCCCTTATGCATTTTGCCATGTGAAGTGTCATGTCTGGATGCTGAGACCACCTTGTGGATCTTGATAA